TGTTGAGTCGTGAGGATGACCCACAAATCGATGTTGGTCGAGACGGCCGATGACCAAGATCGACGCAACGTTTCTGCGTTTAGTTTTCGTCATGATCACCGTCCATGGAGAAGGAGGGGGGAGGCAGGTGGGGACCTTCTGGTTTGACGCCACGATGCTCGTGACGCCCGCCCCTGACGCTCGCGACCGGGGCTGCGATGACCATGTCGGGCAAACCTCGCGGCCTGAAACGGGCCCCCGGGTGCCAAGAAAGCCGGCCGCCACGATGATCTCGTGGCGCCCGAGGGCGGTAGTCCGTCGACGACCGTCGTCACGCACAGGCATGATTGGTTTTGGACGGCTCCTGGAAGCCGAGGCGTCACAAAAAGCACATCAGAAGCAGTGAGGCCTCGGGTTGCGCACAGACAGTCCCTCACCGTAGACGGGCTGACGGTAACGGCGATGTAGGTGTCGGTATGGTGGGAATGCGTGGCTCGCTTTTCCTACAATTCGCTTTGGCGTGTTCGCTCGATCCATTCGCAGATTGAACATGTAGGAGAGGGTTTCTTTTTTGCTTGGGGCATGACGGGCGTCAGGGCTCCCGCCCCCGCCCCCCTATGACGTAACGCTCCCCCCCCCCAGTGCGCTCCGGGCACTGCCGCCGTGCGCATCGGCATCCGCATAGGTTTCCGCATAGGAATCCACATATGAGTCTGGTCCGCAGTCGTCGTCGTCGTTGTTGTCGCTCGTCGGTTGTCGCTCGTCGCTTGTCCTTCTTCGTTGTCGTGCGCGAAGACACGGCTGGAGCCTGTTTTTAAATGCCGGGCCGATGACGGCAATCATTTGAAGGGGGGGGTAGGGGGCGATACGTCACGTTTCGCGCTGGCGGCTTCTGGGAATGCCCAGGAATGACCGAGGGCAGCACGTAGGTGGCGATCTGCACCATGCCCCTGTGTGCACCACAGTGCCTGCGTGCACCACACCGCCTGTGTACACCACACCGCCTATGTACACCACAGCAGCCGCGTGCAACACAGCGCCAGTGTGTGCCACAGTGCCTGCGGGCACCACAGCGCTTGGGTACACCACAGCGCCTGCGTACACCACATCAGCCGTGTGCAACACAGCACAAGTGTACACCACAATGCCTGCGTGCACCGCAGCGCCTGTGTGCACCACAGCAGCCGTGTGCAACAGAGCACCACTATTGCATATAGATAATTTCGCAAGGAATCCTCCTGACAGAATGGAGCGCCTGTGGATTCCACAGAAAACAGTTGTTTTATACAGGATTTGGAAGGGAATCCTTATGGAAAAGGAGTCCTCCCGAGTCCACCCGCATCATCCTAACTTCTCGCATCTGCGTCAAGGAAGCTCCAGCAAAATTAGCCGTATGAGAACCAAGTGGGGTAACTCAATCGACCATTTGCGGTGTACGCTGAGATGCGCACGTGCGCTGTAGCGCCGACCCGCACGACAGGGGGAGGGGTGATGGAGGAGGAGGAGGAAGGGTAGGAGGAGGATGAGGAGGAGGAGAAAACAGGAGGAGGGGGAGAAGAGGAGGAGGTTGATGACGAGGGAGGTGCGAAGAACGTCGCATTCCATTATCAGCATTTCCCTGGCGTGGCGTTTAGCTGTCCGCAGCAGATCCTCACCGACATGCTCCTCCTACGTGTCCTGTGTTCGCAGGCGCTGTGGTGTACACTTGCGCTGCGCTGCGCGCGGATGCTGTGGTGTAGACAGGCGCTGTGGTGTGCACAGGCGCTGCGGTGTGCACAGGCGCTGCGGTGCACGCAAGCATTATGGTGTACACAGACGCTGTGGTGCACATGGTTGATGCGGTGTACAGATTCGCTGTGGTGTACACCGGCGGTGTGGTGCACGCAAGCACTGTGGTGTACACAGGCGCTGCGTTGCACACGACTGTTGCGGTGCACGCAGGCGTTGCGGTGTACACGCGCGCTGTGGTGCACGCGAGCATTGTGGTGTACACAGGCGTTGTGGGGCAAATCGCCACCTGATGCTGCTCGCGTCGTCGTCGTCGCTCGTCGCTCCTCGCTGGTCGCTCATCGTCGTCGTGCGCGCGGGCGCGGATGTGGTGCCGGAGCCACACGGCGGGGGGGGGCGTTATGTCATGCCCCCCCCCCCCCCGCCCGCCCCCCCCACCCCCCATGACGCCCGTCATCCCCGAGATTAAAGAAACGCTCTCTAGGAAAGTGTTGTTCGTGATTTCCCACACTTTGGTTCCCAGCGTCACTGTTCAGCAACACCGCCATTATAGCCCGGCTTTGGTGAGAGGGGCCGGGTATGGGAGAAACGCGAGCCTGATGTATCAGGGGAGAGGTCGGGGGTCGCTAAAGGCGACCCCGGTCCATGGTGCCCCCCGTTGTTTGCTCAATCTTGAAGCCTCTGGGGCTCTCTGGCCTCGTGAGGGGTGCTGCGGAGGCTGTGGGGGCCTCCCGGGGCATTCTGGAGGCACCTTGGGGCAGGAGGGGCACTTAAATCGCATCGTGATGGGGATATTTTGTTGCAGTTCTTGATCTTCAACGAGCACCTCCTAGTAAGCGCGAGTCATCAGCTCGTGCTGATTACGTCCCTGCCCTTTGTACACACCGCCCGTCGCTCCTACCTACTGATTGATCCGGTGAATAATTCTGGCACCGCCCGAAGATGGCGGGGGCGGCGGGCCGGAGGCCCAGGAGGCAGACAGTGGGCGTCGCGGGGATTGGGGCCTGGGGATCGTGGGCGGCCATCGGGGCTGCATCCCTCCAGCGCCCCGCCAGCCCAGACCTCCTCGCTAAGTCAAGACAAGCTGGCGCGGCGCTCAATACCTCCGCACAGCTGTCTTCCAGCTGTTTGCTGTCGTTTTCGGAAAAATCACGACCCCTTCGAGTCATGAAAAAATCTCGACGGGAGGTTTTTCGCGATTCTGGGCCTCCAGGAGCCCTCGCCAGGCTTCGGGACCGTCAACAAATGGTGCAGGATGAAAAGCCGTCTCACGGAATGGGTCGAGACTTCCAGAGTCGACGTTATGACAAAAATCATGGCATCGGGGGTCTGGGTCTCGGGACCTCCGTGGCGGCCAGGAACAGAAAGGCCGTGGAGGCCCCAGGGCAAGGGACAACCGCCACGAACATTCACCCTCCCACGAACTCTGCCCGTACCTCTTGGGGGGGGGCGGTGTGTAAGGTCGTTGGCTCTCAATGGTGATTTATACGCCGCCTCCCTCTCCTGATACCCAGGAGAACCAGCTGGTGGATCGGCACGAACGAACTGGGCACGGAAAGAATGGGTACAATGCCCAACAGCAGTTCCTGCTCATTTTGAGCAGGACTCGCCGTCCGCGCCGCCGCGGCCTGTGTCCATTCGAGACAGCAGGCCGCCTGCCCAACAGCGGCCGCTGTTGGTTCGGGGCAACATTTGTTGTTGGGCATTGTACCTATTCTCTCCGTACCCATTTCGGGCGTCCAAATTGGAGGGTGTGGTGGGGGGGCGGGGGCAAGCCACGGGAGGAAGGGAAGGCCCCACCTGCCGTAGCTCGTTCCCCGCCAGGGAGGGGAGGGGGGCGGAGACTTGAGCGGGCAGGGCGGGAGAGTTGCTGCCTTGTCTTGTTTTATCAAATCGGATTTAGGTTCTAAGGACATTGTTTTTGTTAGAACATTGTTGGGTTCTAAGAACATTTCGTGGTGGGGCTATAGGAATGTCGGGACGAAAGCGGGGGATAGGGAAAGGGTGGGGGTACGAAATCTGCTTCATGCAGCTGGTCTCGGCCCCGCCAAGGGGCCCATTCCTCGATACATGGCCGCCTCTCGGCGCCGGGAAAATCAGCCACGCGAGCTGATTCTCAACCCCCCCTTTGATATCCCCCCTTTTCGCCCGGCCCGAGAGTAAGCGCCGCGCGCCCCCCCCCCCCCCGAGCTTAAGTCGGACGTGCCCCCTCTACAGGAGATCCAAAAGTAGTCTGAACATCGTATGGGGAGGGTATTTCTATTGTTTAAAGATTTTGTTTGAATATTTGTTGGGGTATTTTTCGGTTCTCGCCCAAGACCCGCCTGCAGGGCGAGGCTGAGGGGAGGCGGGCACCGCGAAGGGGGCGGGGTAGGCGGGAGGCGGCGGCTCCGCTCGACGGCCCGCGCGACGAGTGTCGCCTCGACGGCACCCTCCGAGGCGAGCGGATGGAAGCATGATCGGCCAACAAATCCCCCCATTCCTAACCTTAAGTCGGGCCTGCCCCTCTACAGGAGGAATATCCCAAAACAGTCTATATATAGTCTGGGGGCGATTTTTGGGGCATGTTTTCATTATGTTAGGGCATGTTTGACGTATGTTGAATATTTCGCCCACAATCCGTAGGGGGACAGGCCCGACTTAACCCTAGCCAGGCCCCCTTGACATTCGTCGGGGAACCACGGAGGTCAATCCCTTGAGAGTGGTCCAGTTTGGCCTGCTGCACGGGTTCACAGGCACGCACGATGTGATGATTGTCGCGCAGTTCATCTTCGCAGAGGGGGCAAACGGCCGAGTCGCAGTAGCCACACCGTAGCAGCCTAAACGGCGACCACATGCCACCTCCAACAATTGCACGAGGCATACTAGCCTCCTGGCCGTCAGGAATCCAAAGCCTAGTGTGCCTGCCAGCGGGAGCTCCTTCATCAGGGGCGTCGGCGGGCTCATCATCTGCACTGTCCTCAAGACGGTCCTGAACTGGTTCCTGGAGAGCGGCCTTCTGGAGTATCTCGAAGATGGGCCCGATCCACGGGGCTCCTTGGGCAACGTCTCGTCCCCCACGCCTTGAGGCCGAGAGGCCCACTGCACCCAAAGCCTCCAAACAGCAGCTTCACGAGCCAAGGCTAGGATGGTGGGAGGCGCATCCCGAGAGACATCCCACGCGGTCCCCACGTGTGTGCTTGTTTTAGCCGTCGGAGACCTGGGCCTGGCCGCCGCCCCGCGAGAGGACCCTGCGCGCGCCCGGCCCTGGCGCCCCCCCCGCGGCGCTCGCTCGGGGGCGGCGGCGCGGCGGCGCCGCGCCCCTGCGGCGGGCCCCCGCGGCCGTGCTGGGCCCGGACGGTGGGCGCCCCGGCCGCTTCGGGTGTCGAGTTGCGGCGACGACGACGCCGTCGGCGCCGGCGCCGGCGACGACGACGACGCTGGCGGGCGCCTTCGGGCGGCGCGTGAAGATGGGTGCACCCTGGTTGCCCTACATGTGCCTCAGAGGGGCCCCCATGGGGCCCAAAAGGAGCACGATCGGTGCACGCTTGCCTCCCCCCCCCCCATTTATCGCCCCCCCACTAATTGACGCCCATCCGCTGCCCCTGCAGACCTCCGGAGGGGCCAGTTGCGGGGAGTGATGACTGGGGCGCGAGGATATCATGGCGGCCGCGATTCCTCCCCAGATTCTGCAGCGCCTCTTCTTGTCTCAATGCGTCTCTTGACCCGCACCCCCCCCCCGTGGGCTGGGCCTCGGAGCTGTAACAGAAATGACTCTGGATGAAAAAACTGTCCTGGGGAATGGGTCGAGACATCTGGTGGTCGACGTCTTGAGAAAATCATGACGTCCGGGGTCTGCGCTCTAGGAGGAGGATGAGGATGAGGAGGAGGCCTGAGGAGGAGGAGGCCGAGTAGGTGACCCTGGCCCAATGCAACTTCGATTGCCTGCACCAGAAGCCCACGACGTTTCTGTGTGTTTTGGCGCCCTCCGTTGGGCGTAGGGTGAGGGCGATGCTGGGTCAAGGCGAATGTTTGCATAGGGGGGAGCATCTGGCTGCGTTGGGATTCGATGGGCGGGGGGGGGCTTTCGTACGACAGTCCAAGACTTTGACCTATCCCCCTGACTTGTGTAGATTCTCTCGGAGTGTATGTGGGAGGATATGGGCCCGATCACCCCTGTAGGAGAGTGCTGAAAAAAGTGGCACCAAAGGTAGAGGGCTTCTGTGTCCAACCTCGACCCGTAGTTGAACTTCCAGAGACAGCACGATTGCGCTCGTCCCAGCAGGTGCGCCAGAAGCGCCAGTGGCGGCGCGTCGTTTTCTTGTACACGACTCTGGAGTATTTCACGCACACACACAAACACACGCTTCAGCCCTAGGCTGTTACGAGAGAGCCGTAGAACGGGAGGAGGAGGAGGAGGAGGAGAAGCAGGAGGAGGAGAAGAGGAGGGACCAGGATGAGGAGGGCGTAGCAGGGAGGAGGAGGAGGAGGAGGAGGAGGAGGAGGAGGAGGAGGAGGAGGAGGAGGAGGAGGAGGAGGAGGAGGAGGAGGGAGGAGGGGGAGAGAAGGGAGACAGGAGGGAGGGCGGAGGAGGGCAGAAGCGGACGGAGACGGGGAGGGAAGGAGCAGCAGTGCCCACCGAGGCCTGCCTCGCGCCCGGGCTGCCGGGCGCCGCCCGCGCAGCGAGCTCCTCGGCGGCGCCCCGAGCTGAGGACTGCGGCGCGCGCACCCCACAGGGGGCACGCCCTGCGGCGGAGGTTCGGCACCTCCCAGGGCTCATTTCGACTCCTCCGACTCGATTCGATTCGATTTCGATAGACTGCGATTCCGATTCGGCTCGACCACGGAGTCCGATCTGGATCTCGGCTCCTGGACTGAAGATTTACTAGCCTGCCGATTCGCCGACTCGACTTCTCTCGACTTGGCGTTCCCGCCGATCCGATTCATCTCGATCGTCGATCTGACTTAACGACTCGATTCTGGACTCTCCTGCTTCCTCGTCCTGTTCTTGTTGTCGCGTCGCGGCGCGGTGACATCTGCTACGGGATGCGTGCTGCCCAGGCATCCCAGAGGGGGTCCGAGCAGATGAGGCCAGAGGATCGCACCGCATCGCCGATGCATCGGCCATGTGCCATGTGGCTCGATATGGAGCCCGATGTTCTCCACGCCGACGTCTCCGATGCATCGCCCACGTCGCCGATGCATCGGCGATGCGGCGCGACCCTCCGACTCCGCCTGGTTGGGGTGCCTCCATACTGGGTCGGATGTGTTTTTGTCGGCGGCGAGCCTGGGTCCCACAAGCGTTCAAGAAAACGGCGGGGCACATCCGTGGCGAGGTGAGGCGCAGGGGCGTAGGCCGCGTAGGCGGGCGAGGGGCAGGGAGGAGGAAGGCCGCAGGACGGCTGGAGAACTCTCAGATCGTGCAGACCTTCAGGATGTGCCTGGGAGCAGGCTCACACTCACGACACAGTCGGTGCAGACGAACAGGGCAGGTGTTGAGGGAAACCGTAGATAGAGAGGGTTTAAACACGGTTAATCAAGAGCCTGATACGCTACTTTTTTCCGCAGCCTCTTTGGCGCAAAAGTTATCATGGTAGCGGAGCTGGCTACGGCCAGCTCCCGCTGGGCGCCCCACCCGCGGCTAGGGGCGCTGGCCATTGCCCTCGCGGCCGCGACCGCAGGGCGAACGATCCACGGCAACCAGTTCACCAAGCATTTGGACGAGGTCTGCGTGACCAAGCAGCTGGACGCGGCTTACGTGACCAAGCAGCTGGACAAGGTCTACGTGGCCACAGGAGTGCAAGACGAGGTCTACGCGACCACAGCCGAAGGACGAGGTTTAAGGGACCACAGAGCAGAAGGACGAGGTCTACGCGACCACAGAGCTGAAGGAGGAAGTATACGTGGCCACAGAGCTGAAGGACGAAGTCTACGTGACCGCAGAGCTGAAGGACGAGGTTTACGGGACCACAGAGCAGAAGGACGTGGTCTACGTGACCACAGAGCTGAAAGACGAGGTCTACGTGACCATAGACGAGCAGGACGAGGTCTACGTGACCACCGACGAGCAGGACGAGGTCTACGTGGCCACTGACGTGCAGGACGAGGTCTACGTGACCATGACAGAGCCCGGTGCTGAGTGGCAGGGCTCTGGGCTGAAGCCACCAACGTTCGACGGCCAGGAAGAACGCTCACTGGACGGAGTGTAGTTTCGCAACGCGGGCGTACCTGGGCGGCCAGACGGCTCAGGCGTTGAGTCTCCTAGAGGCGGCTGAGCAGCGAGGAGACCCAGACATCAGCACGGCAGAGACCTTGCATCGTTGGGGAGCCGAGGGGGGTTCCGCAACGAAGAAGATGTTCGTCGCGTTGGTCATGACAGTGAAGGGCAGCGCGCAGATGCTGATCAGGAGTGTGGAGGACCAGAACGGGGCGCTGGCGTGGCGAGCCTTGATCAAGCGCTACGAACCAGCGACGGCCTTCAGAGCGCAGATCAGCATGGCGGCGATTCGCAATGTGAAGAATTCCCCCTCGGACTTGGCAGGGCCCGAGCAGTGCCATTCGGACTGGGGGCACGACATCGGGCGCTGCAAGACAGCCCCAGGAGGGGTGTTCAACGCAGAAGTCAAGACGGGCACCTACTTGCAGACGGCTCCAAATAACAGCAGGGCGGTACTGCAGATGCAAAGCGAGAGGAGCTACGACGAGCTGATCAGCACCACGATACAGCACTTACAAGCGGCGACGGTTTACGAGGACGGGCACCAGCAGAAGTGGCCAAGTCCACCAGGACCACGAGCAGAAGGCGGTAAAAGGAAGTCGAACCTCAGGGGCCATGGAGGTGGACGCGCTGACGCGGCAGCAGCCCAAAGGCAAGGGCAAGGACGCCACAGGTAAAGGTAGAGACGACAAAGGCAAGAGCAGGGGCAACGACCAGAAGGGCATGGGCGCGGATACCGTGGCGAGGACAGCAGCGACGCGACAGCCAGCGTGGAGTATGACAGGAGTACCCTGTGCGAGGGGCTGATGGCATCCACAGGAGAACCTGAACTACGACACGGGTAAGCAGAAGGCCAAGAAAGGACAGGCAGGAGGAGTCAACCAGATCACGATGTACGACGGCCGGGGCAACGTCAGCACACCGCCACCAGGACGAACGCCACCATCGACGTCAGGACCTTCCGCCAGCCGGGTGAGGGCAGGAGTTCGGGCGATCGCCGCGATGGGCGAGCACGTGTCAGAGTGGGAAGGTGGTTACACCTTCGCAGTCGCGAAGGACGGGAAGCCAAAGGTGCAGGAGAGAAAGGTCTACAGCATGATGGGGGACGGCATGTGGCGCTCGTTCTGGATGCTGACGGACAACTGCACAGATTGGCACGTGTGCAGCATCAGGGACTTCCCGCACGTGGAGCTCAAACCAGGGCGCAAACCCGACCTGACGGTCGCAGACGGCACGCTACTGAAGCACTACGGATCGAAGACGGCGGCGTTCTACATAGCAGGCAACCGACGCATCATCATGGAGTTTCAGGTCACCGACGCGAAGCAGCCCATCATGAGCGTGGGCAAGTTCTGCAGCAGGATGGAGAAGCGCGTGGCTTGGTACGACGGCAAAGGAGGACTGCCGAGGCACGAGGCGGCAGGACTGGTCAAGCCTAAGAAGATCAACGACACTACGCACTGGATTGCTGGAGGACGAAGACGGAGACGCAGTTCAGCGAGCGTTGGCAGGAGGCCCACGAGCACAACCGCCAGGAGAGCGGAAGCAACCGCAGGTCGTACCGCGAGGAGCCGCAGATGTACTAGCGGATGCACCAGCAGAGGGACCAGCGGCAGTTCCCGACGATCGCGAGACGGTGGAGCCAGAGACGACAGCCAGTGGACTACCTGGACCTCGAGATCCGAGTGCGGAGGAGATCGAGAGGCACGAGCTGGCGCACTACCTAGCTGAACCGTGGCGCGAGATCTGCATTCAAGCGAAGGCCAACGACATAGCCCACAAGAAGAAGGATAGGCGCGACGCGCTGATCCCACCAAGCTTCGACTACGGCCAGGCGGGCATCGAGGGGGGCCCCGTCAACTTTGAGTTCGCGGTGGGCAGCGACGCTTCGATGGGGGGCATCTGGAGCACGGCCATCATCCAGAAGGGTCGCGACGACGTCTTCACCGCGGCTTCGGCGGCTTCGTGGCCAGCCGACCTTGGACACTCACGAGTGGAGCTACAAGCATGAGGAGCAGCAGAGCCCTCGTTCATCATGGCATTCATAGCCAGGGCGATAAAAGACGGCATCTGTTAGGCGATCCTCACGCGGCAGCCGGAGAGGTGCAACAGCCGGGCGAACGGCAGGGCCGAGAGAGCTATCTTGAGGGTGAGGAAGCAGGCGAGGACATTGATGCTGCAGGTCAACAAGAAGCTGAACCCTGACCTCGAGCCCGACTCCCCGTCCCTCACGCGGCTGCCTAGACATGCAGCGTAGCTCTACAACAGACGCATGGTCAGGGAGGACACCAACCTCACGCCTTACGAGAAGACCCACGCACTCATGTACCAGAAGCCCATCGTAGCAGTCGGTGAGGCGGTGATCTGCAGGAGGCCAGGGGCCCAGGTCAACAAGCTGGAATTGTCGCGGCTGGAGGGCATCTGGCTAGGACGCGACGCGAGGACGGACGAGCACACCTGATCGGAACGCCGACTGGGGCGCGCAGGTCCCGGGCGGCGAAGAGGAAGGTTGAGGGCCGACGCTGGGGCAAGGAGCTGTTCGACACGATGAGGTGGGCACCCCGGGGGCCCGGCGCCAACCGCGATGGGGGGGGGCACCGACGTAGAGGTCACTGCAGGAACCGATCCTACTCGGGCCGTTACCGAAGCACCTGGGCCCGAGCGCGGCTGCCGCAGCCGCGGCAGGAGCAGAAGCGGCAGAAGGAGGGCCACAACCAGCACAACCACAGCCAGCAGCAGCAGCGGCGGCAGCACCGTGCGACGACGGGGACATGGGCAAGAGGCGACTGGGGGCGAAGAGGCCCAGGGGCGCGGAGGCGCGACCGTCAGCGCCGAGGGCGGCGACGCCACAGTCAGCGGGCATTCCGGCGGTAGAGACGAGCCCCAAGCGAGACACGAAGGCGGAGATGGAAGCGAAGGCATGGAGCCCAGGGTCACTACCATCCAGATCATCAATGCGGCCAGGGAGATGTGCGAGGAGCCGCAGGTGGAGGACGAGGAGACGCACGTACTGGAGGGCGACTTCACGGAGGCAGGAAGGAGCACTTGGAGAAGATCGCAGGAGACGGCAAGTAGATCGTAAAGGTGATCCCGATCAACGACACGACGCCCAAGATCCCGACGGGTTGGTGGGTCGACATCTACCAGGCGGACGGCGGCAAGAAGAGTCGGTGGGCCACGAGGCGCTTAGCAACAGGTGTACGGGCACTGGAATTTCGTGGCCACGACCCCCTCGCTTCCGCGCCTGAACGCGATGCGGGCCAACGCGGAGTTGCACGATCACGCGGTGGCGCTTGGCGATGGCAGTGGGGTTCTCTCCCAGGCGCCGCCCACCGAGGACCGCATCTTCCTGGAACTGCCACCAGAAGCAGGAGTACCTGAAGGACATGTTTTGGAGGCGCTGCGCGCATTTCCAGGACTCAGAGGTGCACTGAAGGCTTGGGGGGATCACGGCGCGAACACCATGGGGGAGTTGGAGACGGCCAGGGGCCGCTA